AAGATAAGAAACGAAGATGAGAACATCACACAAATGCATTTACATCTCCGGCTTTTAGTTAAATTCGTCAGCCTTGTTATAAAATTGTTCAGTGACTGTTTTGACATTCTTCACTTCCACCTCGCTCTATCCGACGCGTCATCTTCGGTAACGTTACATGAACATAGATCTATTCTGATATAGATTTTCTAACCACGTCTGTCCACCTGGTTTCGGGTCACCCTCTGGGATTTCCCATCGCAATGTAGGACAACTCCCAATGTACTGACGACCTGTGCAGATGTACGCGATGTCGAAAGTAGCAGGTGGCCCGGGATCGCGCTTCGCGGCAGACTGCGGGGTGGCTTATTTTCAGCAGTGGACTCCTAACATGCTGAAATGATGATAATGATATAAGCTCCAAGACTTTATCAAAAATTATAACTAGTTCCACTATATTCAAGATAAGTTCACACATATTTAAGGCGTCACAAAAGACAGTCGATGAGTTATTTTTCTAGAACGTATCGTTTTGGTATGTTGCCAGAACCGCTAGGAAAACTAAATTATGAACAAGAAGTCTGCTCTCTCCGTCTACGAATAAATCTCATCTAAAACATTATATTTCTTCAAAAATACATATTAGTGTATATAGCAATATTAACAATCGAATGCCGTCAGGGTGTCTGTCTAAAGATATGCACAATTATATATCACGATATTTCTTGGCTGAGATAACTGATGAAACTCACTGTGGAAGGGCCACGCAACAGTTCTCGCTGTTGTACGAACCGACAGGTCCGTCTAGATAGGTACCACGACCTCCCAGAAGACCGGCGTGAAGTGGAAGTGTTCTTCTGCGTTTCGTCTGGTAAGTGGGGTAGCCGGGACCTGCTTTTTCTAAAGGTGGCAATGCAACCCTACGGCTGTTGCAAATGTCAATGGGTTGTAGCTATCACTTATCGTGCGAACCCCCTGCACGCTCCCACATAAAAAGGTGTTCGTTTTATGAGATGGTGTCACACGAGCAAGTAGAGCAACCGATGATAAGTGATTAACAGCTATACACCCATTGGTTATAGTGGCCTCTGCTGATCCTTGAGAGATCAGTTCCTGGTAACCTCACTCGCTGGGCATTTATGCTTTCACATTTCGCCCAGCGAGTGATCGCTGGGCGAAATGTGAAAGCATAAATGCTTGTGTTTTGGGCAGTAAGTCCGAACGAGCGCTGCGACTTAGTTATTTAATTAAATATTACTTAATTTTTTTTAATGTGTGAAAGTGCAAAGCAAACGAGATGGCGGTTCACCTGATCTTAAGTGATAACCGCCTGCCCATGGATATTTGCAACACCCATAGCGTTGCCACCTTTAAATAAAGTGGACCCCGGCTACCCTACTCACCAGACGAAACTCGGAAGTGCTACAGTTCTACTACGGTCTTTTGTGAGGTCATAGTACTAAACCTGCCGATTCGTGCAACAGCGAACACTGCTGCGTGGTCCTACCACGGTTAGAGAAGTATCTTACTGTAACCGAAAAAATTGCTCTCTTACTCTAGGATGACGTTATCCTGTTTTGTAGTGACGAAACAATTATCTGTGGGTCACTCAAATAGTTGTCCCGTGTGGGAATCTAACTCACGACCCATGGTGCCGAAACCAACGCCTGTGCAACGCAACTGCGCCACGGAGTCATAATGCTGAACTTGAACTTGAAACTCGCAAATGACTATTAAATCTTAAGTCCGACCGATCTGCTGTGCCAAACTATCCACTTAAAACAGATTAACGCCAGAACGTTTGCACATGTAATCAGTTCATATTTATGGTCACCATTATCGTTAGGTTATCAGCCAGCGATAGCAAATTAACATAAAATTACCAGTCAGTTAATAACAGCCGTTTGTATGTATATAAACTAAAATTGAAGTAATGCACATAGCCTCCTCTCATAACATGAAACAATTTTTAATTTGTGTTAATGTTGATATTTTACGTGTAGTAAAGTGTACATAAAAATGTTACAACTTTGACAAAGAATCATATTCTTCTTCTTCTTTAGGTGTCGATGACAAATCATATCTTTCCGGCCCAGAACTTAGCCACTTTGACAAATTTTGGCATCCATCAGATCCTGCTTCGAACAGGAACAGGACTGCACTGCTCCACACATACAGACCAGGTCTGAGTTTTCGGAGTCCCCACCTGAATACATTTTCCTTGCTTCGGCCAACCTTAGTCCGAAGTCTATTTAAAGACTTCCATGTTGGCCACGGTAGTCTATGACCAGCCGGAAGACTCTCAGAAAGCGGGACAAAGGGATCCGGAAGCAGCGTTTTCCTTGCTTTTTCCTCATCATTGGCCGGGCAGGAGCTTTATCTAAGATCAGTGAAAACCGGCGTGAAAGGTGGAATAACACTGTTGACAGCATTGAATTGACACACAACAGTAAAAAAGCTTGGAATACCATCCGCAAACTAACCAATGATCCACCTCGTGCTATTACGTCCAGTACTGTTACAGCCAATCAAGTAGCCCATCTGCTCCTACTGAATGGCAAACCACCCAGCCGCCTCCCGGGGATCCCAAAGCAGAACACCTGTTACGCCTCTGACAACATTAGTAAGCCCTTCTAACTGTCTGACATCATTGCGGGTATAAAAGTTCTCAAAAATGGCAAAGCCTCGGGAGGTCATAACATCACCGTTGAGATAACACCTTGGGCCGCTCGCAGTGTCCTGGTTGCATCAACTGTTGTCTTGAAACCTCCCAGCACCTCACATCTGGAGGAAATCGAAGGTCATAGAATCATACCGATCACTAAATACTACATAGTTCAAGTTTTTTAAAGCAAAACAATCTGCATAAAAAATTTATTTAAGATTCGAATGAAATGTAAAAATATTTAACGTTTGTTCTAAACTTATGGAAGGTTTAATGTGTGTACTATTTGAAATTATAAACTTATTAGCTTACAAATAAATACATTAAAGATATATATAAACATACAGACGCCGGAATAGAACTATGCTCATAAAACCCAAATCCTATAGCGTAAGAGACAAACTTACCATCCACTGCGCCAGTTGGGTAGTCAAATATACCCATAGAAATTCAATGAGTCCTCGAATTTTTTGTAGCGGTGAAACAAATATACACATCAATTTATATTTCAACATCAATACGTAAGTAAAACTACAAATCTACCACGTTATCCTTCCAGGGAACTACGACACCAGTCCTTTACAACTTTATACCATTGTAAATCTATTATATGAATCAGCAATACAGCTAGTGAGAAAAACAAAAAATGTTATTTTAAACAAAACACGTTATGCTACAAATATATATATCAGTTCTCATTTCCAAATAGGGTTGACGTCAGGCCGGTCGTAAAAAATCTGGCCATTTATAACATTATTGCTATACATACTAGCAGAGATTACCCTGTACACACACACATACAAAAATTTCATTAAAATCGGTCCAGCCATTTAGGAGGAGTTCAGTGACATACACACATACAGAAGAATTATATATACATATAAAGAATATATTTTAGTTTTGTATTAGGTAACCGGTGGATGCAAAGTCGTTCGTTGTGGCGTTCTAAGGGGGAGGCTTTGTTCAACGGTAGACGTCTTGCGGCTGATGATGATGATGATGAAAGAGAAGAAAGAGTACACTTATTGGGTTATATTTTTCCTGTTTTAAAGAGAGGTCATGCGAGAACCAACTCATGGTAGTGATAACCGCCCATTAACACCAGAACTGAAGGCGGTTCGAAGGTTTTTTGGCGACATTTTGCAAGGAGGCGACGCGTTTCGTCCCTTTCCGCATATAACAAAGTAAACATAATCACTACGTTACGGTATCCGGTGCTCAAGACCGTGACCCTTCTTCGACAGGTCCATTCGGCAACAGAAGCTATTTGCCATGAAACCTACCACGGTAAAAAAAATTTAAAACTTATATATGGTATAGAAATGTCGCGACTCATTTTGATTCTTACGGCATTAAAGCTAAACTCAACGGTACGCCCTATATGCATTGTACGTATAATACTGATAAAAAATAAAACATTATTCGTAGTAATCAGGTTCTCAGGACATTTCCTTGACAAAGGTTTTATCCTTCGTCAGTATTGGTATTAAAATGATACTTGTGTACATTTTGTAAGGTCCAAATTATATTTATTCGTAATTTTATAAAGATCTATTTATAATATGAATCGGCGTTCATAAGGTAGATTCAAGGTCTGCACATATTTCAATGAACAAGCAATGATAGAGTCGACTGTTATCACATCGGTTTTTCTTAAAAGTTTTAAAATAGACTATATATTCTAGTCACTTTGTAAAATTATTGGATCAGATCATTTTAAACATTAAAAATAAATCAGTTGCTAAATTAAAAAAAAATCGTAAAGGAACTATATATTAGTGAAAACACACTGTGGAAATGAATTGATTGCTCCAGGCTCTTTCAAATAGACTTTTAATATATTTTAAACGTGTTTCATATCATATTATTATAGCAAAAAAAATTTTCCGCTGGTTTTCTTTGGCCGATTCTTTTCGGGTTAGGCTTTCTTCCCGAACCGGTTATAGTATTTTACAATAACTAAATGCTTATATGTTGGATAAAGATATTTAAATTTTATGCACGCCAAACCTAAACGTATAGTTTATGTTTGGCTAAACGAACCACCTTGATTATTATCGAAAGTCCTTTTCTACAGCTCTACTCGAGGAATGATATGTTTAGAGCTTTAAATGTCATTTTCAGTTCTGGTGTTAACTAGTAACAACCATCATCATCATTTCAGCCTGTTTGAGTATAATGCTGAACACATTCTGCCCCGAAAAACGATCCTGAGCCACCTGCATCCATGACAGAGTTCACAACCTTACTGCCACGCAACTAATCTTTGACCATTTAACAGTATACCCGTCCCACTAGGTAATATCGTGAATGCGAAACAGTTTGTTTTCGCGTGGCGTCCTGTTTGCACGCGACGATGCTTCCCAAACTGTTTATGTTCGTTCACATCGTGACCGTCAGCGCGCGGAATGTTTACTACGAGCAGTCTTATTCCGCGCACGTACAAAGTGTGCCTTCCTACAGAGATGGGCGCATTGATCAAAGGGTCTCAACAGACTGGAACGACTGCGACGCCGTGTTCGACGAAAGTGGCTCAAGACAGAGAGAAGTTCCCTCTGATAATGGATATCGAATACAGGATCAAAGAAACAATAAAGGACGAAGGGTGGACGCAAACACCAAAGGAATTCAAAGAACGGAGCACGTCAGTGACGTAATCACCAACGAGCAATACGCTGTTGACGTGAAATATATTGAGAGACTTTTGAAAACAAACAGACGGCCCGATACGGTTATCTTTCACGGAAACGTGAATTACGATCGTCAGCCGTTCACTAACGAGCGGAGACCGGAAGACAACGTCGTGTATAGTACAGGATCTAGGCAAGAACCCGTCGGGACGCCCGAAAACCAAGAATTACCGAATAGGTCAGAGACGAGACCTCTTCAAAGTTCAAACTCCAACACGTCGATTGATCATAACAAAGGCACAAATAAATACAATAAGGAAGAAACGTCTGATAAAAATAGAGGAGAAGAAACAACTACCCTAGAAGTTGATTTAGAAGACAGGGTGGCTTTCACGGGGGACGCATGCGCGACGGGTTACGCCAAAATTCAGGGGAAATGTGTGAAAGAACAGAAGTAAACTTATCCAAAGGTTAACGTAGTCAAGTTGATAGTATTGCGGTAATTAATCTGATTTCTTACTGTGTTCGTTTGTGATAAGTGATTACGTACAGGTACTGAACGTGGTGAAATATCTTTCATTTGCCTTATCTATTAGCGATATAAGCTTATAAATTATTTAAATAAAATTAATTTATTAGTAAGTAAGGTGCCTTAGTATATAATTGTAATTTGTTCGGATGTAAAGCTGTTTGACATATATTTCAGTACACTATTTACCGAGCGTGATAGCTCAGTGTCCGGGCGCTCGCCTTTAATTCAATATACTCGAGCAACCTGAGTTCGATCCCCGGTGCCGGCACCAATGAAGTTTTTAACTTTAAGTGCTGACTTATCACGTGCTCCGCGGTGAAGGAAAACATCGTGAGGAAACCTACATATTTTCGAAATAATAACAAAAAAAATATATTTCGAAGATATGTGAAGTCCGCCAATCCGCAGTGAGGCCGCGTGGTGGACTATGTCCTGATACCCTCTGTATAGAGGATGGCCTTTGCCCAGCAGTGGGACATGTATAGGCTTTTACTTTTACACTATTTACAGATTTATCTAGTCCCAAACTAAAATTGACGTCGGTAAAGAAACTGAACCTTTCGACAGTTGTAAAGATTTCGAAACAACTTTGGTTGTGTAAATAAATACAACTTTTGTATATGTTTAACAGTCAGAAACTGGAAAAACGCTACGTTCACAACATTTTTGTAGTAGTCATCAGCATTGAACCTATACCCTCTGACGCTAAAGACAGGTTCACTATCCACTGATATCAGATCGTCATGTAACACGTTTGTTTACCCGTGCAAAGCCAAGGCTAGTCTAGCAGTTACGTATTTTATTTATTATAGCTGCGGCCCACGACTACCTCTGCGTAGAGTAGGCTGAAGGCGTAACATTCAGACAGATATACATAAAAACATGTATATAAATTATAGCCTATGTGTTATTCTGATGTATAAGCTACATAATTGTAAAGTTTCAGTAAAATCCATTCAGTAGTATTTGCATAAAAGAGTAACAAACATCCATCCATACATACAACATTTCGCCTTTATAATATTAAGTAAGGAAGAAAGGCACATTTTATAGCAATATACCATTATTGCTATAAAATGATGAAACTATTTATATGATTTTAGACTACGCTGAGAGCGCAATGGCTCCGATACCTCACCAACTGCTGTATTGCGTTCTGGGTTCGATCCTTACATGGGACATATATTTGTGTACTCTTTTTTTTTATTTCTCTAATCTCTAAGTCTGGGTGCGTCTTGTTCTTTCATGTTTGTAGACCTGCGACAGAGAATTATTTTCTGTATATTGAGTAGTTTTTATATGACAAAAATATGAACTATGTAACAAAATTTATTTGCTGTAACCCACAACAGGCTACTTTTAGTTATATGTACTCATACTGTATAGAATATAATGTACCTCCCATCAATAATTTCGCAATTATTGATGGGAGGTACATTATATTCATGTGAAAAATCATAAATTATCATTTATATCATAAATGATAATTTATGATTTTTATATTATTAACAAATTTTGTCCCCTAATAAAAAGTTTTTTTGTGGTATACAAGAAATACTTTTTTTAAAACCGAATGTAAAAAATTTTATTTACATATTACTTGAAATTTAGACAGCCAATAAAATCATGTTACAATTAAACCATTTGTTCTGCAAACCGTTGTATTTATTCTAACGTTCGGTCAAGTTACTTGGATTAAAATTGCTAAACGCCACCTACTAACAGAGTTATATCGTAAATAAAGCCCCAATTAACATAAAAAAAATCCAGAAGTCGCATAATGAAACAAACATTAACTATAATTTTGCTTATCGGTATATCTCCGGTGATGTAACATAAACAAAAGGTATTCCCCATGGGAAAAAATAACGAATAAATTTAATGCTGTTTTAAAAAAACCATTAATAGTGCTGTTATAAAAAGAACAGATATTTTATAAACATGTACGCGATAAATTGAAACGGGAATATTGGAAATACAATCAGATTTCTATAAGTCTTTACAAACAACGTGTTACTTTAAGATTACAGTTATTAGTTTCAATATTCAATCTCAAACTACATTAAAAACCCACATCAAACTCAGGGAATCTAATACAAAAAGTATACGGTCTCATCCAAAACTAGCCATATCTATTAATCACTAAAACCTTAAAGCTTTGGAAGGTAAACAAAAATAGCTAATGCTTTTGACCTTTCCTGCTGTAATGTGGCACAGGTTTTGGGTTTATTTAAATATATTTATAAATCAAACTAATATTACGGATTTATCGCGTTTATTTTTAATTTTATTTCCCGATGTTTCGAACCCTTTACAGCGTTCATGGTCACAGACTGTAGTCTGTCCCGTGACCATACAAATAAACGCGATAAATCAGTAAAATTAGTTTCATTTATATTGTGTAATCGCGTAAATACAAGAAATTATCATAAAATATATTTATTAACAAAAAACCAAATCGACTTCAAATATCTCGCTCTGTATTCATTTTATAATTGATTTTCAAGACTTCCCTAAGCGTCTCCGGAGCCCAAGGTCCAATACCAATGAAATTAATATGGGACCACATGGGAAGCATCAGCTTTCAAATAAAAAAAGTGTGTGCGTGTAACCTTTACGCGCGATTGTAGTAAAACTTCTTTGGCGTTGACGGCATATATCACTGAAATGATTAAATATTTAGTAACGTCATAAGTATATGTCATATTTTAAAAATATGACATATACTTATGACGTTACTTCCGTCAGAAAAAGCGTTACTTCCGTCAGAAAAAATCTGAGTTACTCCCTAGTAGCGCCTAAAGAAGTTTTACTTCAAAAAAGAATCACAAAATCGTTTCACTCAGTGGGAAGTTCTGAGGTAACAAAAATAAAAAAAAATCCAGTCGAATTGAGAACCTCTTTTTTTGATGTCGGTTGATAAGTTAAAAGTGTGCTTTTGGGCCGAAGCCCGACGGTTCTATTCCTATACCGGACAAGTCTTTGTGTACATGATAATTATTCCAGATCTGGGTGTATGTTCCCAGAGTTTCCCAATACAATTCACATGACACACACAGTCGACTTCTTAGCCCACCTACATGAACGGTGATTTCTTGTATTTAAGCGAATACTTAACCCTCTATATACAGGACGCCTATGTCCAGCAGTGGGATATATATAGGCTGTTACTTTACATTAAGCAATACTACACATGTGATTTGTTTTAGACATTCTAGACGTTGTTCTAGACTGTCACTTTTATGTCAAAAGTTGCCAAGCGAACAGGCGGTTCACCTGATGTTAAGTGAATACCGCCGCCCATGGGCATCTGCTACACCCGAGGGTTACAGATGCGTCAACAACCTTTTGGGCTACGGCCACCTCACTCAGCAAACGAAACGCGAAAGTATTTGTCATACTTCCGCTTCACGCCTGTCTTCTATGCGGTCGTGGTACTTACCCGGACGTACCGGCTCTTTCTAAAGTTCAAAATTACTCCCCCCGACTCCACACGATGGTAAGATCGAAAAATATTATGCATATTTCATTACTCAGTAATTTGTATCTATATTTAATTTCCAAAATACGATGATTTACCAAAAAAAATCACAGCTGAAATACTTATCTCACTTAAACGTTTCACTGCGTTATCTCAAAAACTCCCGAAAGTCAAGAACTCACATCGGAGCCGGAACAGAGCGATTGCGAATTCAAGTTTTTTAACCAAAGATAATATTTTATATCATTTTTTTATATATGGCACCGCCACAAAATCTATAATGATAAGAAAGGTTTGGTTTTCGGTGTAAAAAGTAAAGGATTAGCCTATACATGTCCCACTGCTGGGCAAAGGCCTGCTCTGTATCTGTGTAGGGTATCAGGGCATAGTCCACCACGCGGTCCCACTGCGAATTGGCGGACTTCACATACGTTCGAAATATTTTATTTCTTTTTTATTATTTCGAAAATATGCAGGTTTCCTCACGATGTCTTTCTTCACCGCTGAGCACGTGATGATTCAGCACTTAAAATGAACAATTTCATTGTTGCCGACACCGTAGATAGAACTCAGGTTGCTCGAGTATATTGAATTAAAGGCAATCGCCTGGACACTTAGCTATTCAGTGTGTGGTTATTAATAGAATACGTATTTGCTTTCCTATCTAAGTTCGAGCATCCTATAAATATATCAACATCGACTGATCTGGTAATTTTTTCGTGTCATTCATGGTACTGTTAGTTTTTTTGCATGCTCGTGTCTTTCTCACGACGCTTTGGAACAGGATACTTGTTTTTGTGTCAATATTCTGCGAAACAGCGTTACTGTGACGATATATTGCATAAGTTTTTATAGCATCAGAGTAGTTACAAAACGCAAACATGGATGCACTCCGAAGTAGCCCTGGAAGTATTAATGGGGAAGAACAGAGGCTCTATCCCATTAATAGAGAGGAGAAAGAGAGGAAAATGTCTAGAGACATATCCCTGTCTTCCTCCTAGGAACAGGTATCTTTCGAAGATACTGTTGTCCTCCGCAAAGCCATAGGAGTTCTAATGCATTGCCCACCATCAAACAGATATACGGTAACCTCGCTCCCTGCAGGCGCGCAGTATACTTTCAGATTCTGTGAGGCCATGGCAGAAATCGATATGAGAAGGGGCAACTTAAACTATAGTGTTGTCTAGCAAAACCACTGACGGTAAATTTTTGTCGTGTATAATTATGTCAGATTGATAATTCGCTTCCAGAGGATTGGAACTGTTTTGAACTTTTCGATGAAGCGTTTGGTAAAATGTTCGCATAGCGTTGAGTCTGCAACCGCTTTGCAAGTAGTTATCACTGAGCAGTGGTTGCGAGGTTCAAATTACATGTATATGCGAGTTTTTTAGTCAACGTGAGCAAATAACATAAAGGTAGTGTGTCCTTCACATTTTTTTATGTGAGAAAGTGGCAAACGAGCTGGCGGTTCACTTGGCAAACGTACCAATGTATGTTTTTATAAAAGTTTATGTTGTAGGGCCACTTGACAGTGTCCGCTGTTGCACGAATGGGCAGGTCCGTTCGGGTTAGTACCACGGCCGTATCATTTCTAATATACGCTTTCCTGTAGATGGCGCTGCATCTGTGTGATTTTTAACCAATCAATAATGAACTAACTAACAATAAAACTACTTACCAAGTTCAGAACATGATTTGTCCGTTAGAACCATAACTAATTTGTATCTCTCTCAAATAATCTCTCTCTGTCTCAATCACTAATTAAAACAATTTTTACGGATTTATTAACTAATTTTAAACTCGAATCAAAAACATATTTCAGCGGCAAAAAGATTGCGGTAAGGTTAATTATGGTGTTTAAGTGATAGTACCTGAAGGACCGGAGGTTTTTTTTTTTTTGGTAAATCGTCGTATTTTGGAAATTAAATTTAGATACAAATTACTGAGTAATGAAATATGCATAATATTTTTCAATCTTACCGATCTTTTCTTATTATTAGAAAATATGAAGTGGTGTTTTTCACAAAAAAAAAACAACTTAAAAAAAAAGGGAAAAAAATAACAAAATCATCTGGATCAACAAAATCATCTGGAAAATAAAGAATAAAGAAAGCAATGATCTGGAATCGAAAAAAAGTAAAAAAAAAAAGAGTGTGTTGTTAAAAAAAACTGTTTTGGGGCCGCCCGATTACCAACCGAGCTATTATAACATTTTTTTTGCGGCGAAATTTACCGTCATATTTGAATAATATTTTACATTCCCTGAAAACAGGGAATGAAAATAAAACCTAGCTAGATCGATTTTTCGCCCCCGAATCTACGCACATATTAAATTTCATGAAAATCGCTCGAGCCGTTTCCGAGATTCCGATTATATATATATACAAGAATTGATCGTTTAAAGGTAAGATTAAAATAGTTTATTTAGGTTCCACAAAATAAATATATAAATATTTTCGGACACATTTTTTTATAGATTAACACAAAATTTTATATTTTAATGTTAGGTAAAATAATATTTTTTAGTCGGTAATATTAGATGCACCCGGCCTACAAGAGTTACTGGTACACACACATAATAATACATATATTCGGTTCCCTAGGCCTAACACATATAGTATTAATTATAAAACAAAACATCACTCGGTGAGTGCTTTAAACAAGGCTTCTAATAAACTAACAATGTTACGATGGATCTGGCCTTGATAATTTAATTTGGCAATTTATCTAACGGTCTTGTGACCATCAAACATGGCAATTACTTTTTACCGAATATGATTGTAATAAATGTTTCTCATGGATGATGTAAGCGTTGATCGTTATCGTTTTACGCTTAACGGGTAGATGTTACATAAGTACGAAATATAACTCTTTGATCTCAAATGTCATTGTGTAAAAGTGCGCACATATTTTCCTTTACCAGCGATTTCTCCCATCATACGCAACAATTTCGATAGACCTTTTTAATAATTTCACGAGTATGAATCTCCAAGTAAGCCTGAATCATAAAATTTCATTCACAAAGATGCACGTATTAGACATCTATTTGTCGACAACAGGCAATTTTTATTTCTACAAATAATAACGCCTACACAATTTCATTCGGCAATCCATCTTAAATGAAAATCTGCTCGATGCATCTCGCACATAGTTGTTTTTGTAATAAATATTTTGTTTTGTAGTGAACACGCATTATGTGCCCTCGCCTAGTTTTGAATTGCCGCCAAAGTCGGGGCACTCAAAAGATCGCCTGGCGTGTAGTAAACACGTAGTTAATGAAATAAATACAATATTTTACAAAACAATATCGGTAAAAGAAGTGAAACGTATTCAGAAACGTTTTTAATAGAAATACGGTCATAATATAAAATTATTTTATATATTATATACAAAGTTTTATTCTTAATTAATAAAACAGGTTTATACATAATTACAGTTTCATTCAATAAATTAAAATAATGACACATAAATTGATGTTATGTAATTAATAAATCAATATAGCAATTATAGTATTGTGAACGGGCTAACCCAGACATCTCATCTATTTGTATTTTAAATGAGGTATATAGCAACCTCATTTCTGATATCAAAATAAATTTATGTACATGAATAATTTCTTAGCAACAGTAGAGTATTGATCACTTTGCAATTGGCTTCTACTATTAGAGCGAATTGATGCGATCATTTTCTGTGTAAAGTCTTTTAACTTGAAAACTATGAATTAATCACCAGTTTCAGATCAAAATGTCTCTGTGTCGAACCACTGCCACATCTTTGGCTTCGTGTAATCCAGCTCATATTCTTCGCATTTCTGACCGGTTATCCTGGAATAAGAGAGTTTTTTTTAAAGTTGGAAAGCGAAAAAGTTAAGATTTTCGTCGCTGTGGCTATCAGCCGTTTAGCTCAGTAGCTAGAGCGTCAGGCCGCGAATGCCGAAGACGCGAGTTCGATTCCCACAGCGGCGACAAGTTTTCGTGCTTTTTCTACATGTTTTAAAGCGAAGAAGTTAGTTCATCTGATGCTTGGTAATTCCTAACGCTCCTGGACATATATAACACCTCGGGATTAAAAATTTTATCGTGCTAATCTCTGCACTTAAGATTAAACATTAAGAATTGTAGAAAAATTACGAAAAGATTGTCGTTGCTAAAAAAGCAAAGGCAACACCTCTCGTTCGAATTATCGTCGTAAAACGATTTTCGAAATTGTTGGTAAGCTGGAAATTGCTTTAAATGCTAAAAAATTATGTAGTTTAAAGTCGTTAAGATTTTCGTCGCTGTGGCAATCAGCCGTTTAGCTTAGCGGTTAAAGCGTCAGGCCGCGAATGCCGAAGCATGGGTTCGCTTGCCACAGCGGCGAATCTTTTCGTACTTGTTCTACAAATTTTAACCTTCGGGATAGCTGTGTTTGCCAAACATTAGATAATGGGCTACGGTTACCTCATCCACCACAAGAAACGGAAAAAATCACTTCACGGCGATTGTTGGCGCCTAAACGAATGAACGAAGCGCCTATAAAAATAATACCAGCAAAGAATATCATCCACGGCGTTGCCTCCAATTTTTTATGGGTATTATTTTTTCTCTTTTTGTAATTTTTTTAACTGATTTTTTTATCTAAAAACCGACACAATCGTGATTCTATTGCACTCCAACTTAACCATATTTTATAGTTATAGCTAGGTTGTTTCACAAAAAAGTGCGTTAGAATAAATAACTAAAACAGTTTTCGCATACGATGTCGACAAACAAATGACTCTAAATGAAACCGGATCAAAGCGCGTAGTGGAATTCTAGTCTAATCCAACATCTTAAAATAGAAAAGAAAATCTGAACGAGTAGATTGCCTACTGAAATATTCTTTTCAATATCAAAGATACTGAGGTACGAGAAGCAACTCTCACCTGGTTCGCCGAACGCATCGCACAATAGGATGTGCTTTCCGGAAGCACTGGGGACCCAGCACGTTGAAGTAAGTGAGGCCTATCTGGGCCGACACCAAGGAGTTGGTCCTCCGTAGGCAATCCCGGAACCTGGCGTCGCAGCTGCAGTGGGACCTACAACGAGACATTCAATCACATTTACCTATTTATTTAACACCAACATAATATAACAACATTAGTAAGTAAAAAGTATCTGCTTATGCATGTCCCACTGGACAAAGCTCTCTTCCGTACATAATGAATTATGTTATAGTCACCACGGACCATGCCTTAATGCCCTCGATCCCACGGTGGATTGGTGGACTGTTGTATGGTTGTTATTCCGATAAATGTGCAGATTTCCTCACGATTATTTACCGTTCCTTCACCGGTTGGCGCGTGATAAATCAACACATAAAATTAACAATTTCATTGGTGTTGGCAGTGGAATTTGCTCCAGTTTAATACTACCAGGAAGTACCAGGAAGAACCAGGACCACGCAGATTATCGGCCTGAATTAGAAGTGTTGTACTTCTGCGTTTCGTCTGGTGAGTTAGCCGGGGCGAAATTTATTGAAAGGTGACAATGCATCTGCAAACCTGCGGGTGTAAATATCAATGGGCGGCGGTTATCGCTTAAGATCAGGTGAACCACTCGCTTCCCATCTTATCAAATTATGTAATTAAACTTCATATAAAAAAACACGCCCCTGATGAATCATTAATACATAAACCTAACGAGGTACCAGATGTAGATAGGATTTATCTCAACTTCGTGTTATCTCAACGAGAGGTTATGGTTTCTACAAGGCACGATCTGGCACGGTTTCAAGGCTGAGCGCAATGAGGAAACAATCCGTTGGGAAACGGAGGTCTAAAAACATCATACTAGCGACCCGCCCCGACCTCGCACAGGTGCGAAGTACATATTATATTTTTCGCCTTTTCTATACTATTATATGCATGTATAAACCTTCCGTTTGAATAGATAAATAAATAAATTTTTCAGGACACATTTTTACACAACGTTCTCTAGTCTCAAACTGAGCAACGCTTGTACTATGGGTACTAGATAAGTGATAAACATACTTAAACATAATTTTCTTTTGTAAATAAATACATTATAAATATATAATGTTTCTATATGCTTGTTTATGTATTTATGGCACCTTGCCGCGAGAATGATGAATGTTTTTGAAGACAAATTAATAAAAAAATAATTTCATCAGATTGAATTAATTTCATTCGACATCATTTTCTAAGGTTATCCACAGGAGGTTATTAAGCATGATATCGTTACCTACATTTTAGCTCAATTTCTTACAAACAAATGATCTATATACTGCAAACGCTGAATGTCGCATCGATAACGTTTATTAAACATAATATCACGATACCGATGGTATTACGATACCGTTTGTTTTAATTCTACTCGTCGTATCAAAACGTCGCAATTGCGAAGAAAATGGCTTGGGCACCGGAGGTAGTGGTTTCGATTCCCACACGGGACATCCATTTGTGTGACCCAGAGATAATTGTTTCGGATGTGGGTGTTTGTCCACGTGTAATTTATGTATGTAAAACATCCTTACAACACAGCATAAAATTATTCTACAGTAAGGTAAATAGAGTTTTTAAAAGCTCAAACTCAAACTTTATAGAATCAATGTGAACACCACCAATTGTTACACTACAAAACAAGTGAGGTTGTGGGTCCTGAGTTAACACATCAGACTAAATATGCGGGAAGTCCCCAAAACACGTGGTATGAACCTTACACGTCGTAAACACACGTGAATGACTTGTTAACCCATCAGACTGAAAATGCCGGAAATCCCCAAAACCCGTGATATGAGCCTTGCACCTCGTAAACACACGTGAATATTGTCAAAGTCACATATGCTGGCTGGATGTGTAATATTAGAATTCCCGTTCGCCTTGACAAGTCTAATATGAAGCATTTTTATGAGAACTTCCATATGTCGCCACTATTACGAGTACCTACTAGGTTCACGCACGCGCGTAGTTCGTATCCACATGGACGGAGAATGACAACATGTGAAACGATGAATTATTTTATCGTTATGGATACGACTCTCGCTCTATATTTAATACTAGATTTTCGCCCGCGGCTTCGCTCGCGTTGAAGCCCGTAAATAAATATCTTTCTTTAAAAATTATATACTTATATATAATTATATGTTAAACAAAGATATTTTCAACCCATTACAACACTTTTTTCCAATTGAAATATAGCCTATGTCCTTTCTAAGGCTGTAGACTATCGGCGTACCAAATCTCATTTCAATCGGTTCAGTTGTTTTGAAGTGAAAGCGAGACAGACAGACAGACAGAGTTACTTTCACATTTATCCTTATATTCATATTATAAACGCGAAAGTTTGTATGTATGGATGGATGTTTGTTAGTCTTTCACGCAAAAAGTACTGATTAGATTTTAATGAAACTGTAAAATAGTATAGCTTATACATCAGAATAAGACATAGGCTATAATTAATATACATATTTATGTATATGTACGCAGACGTAATCGCGGGCAGCAGCTAGTAATATTATATAGTATGGATAGTATGGATTATGTATATAAAGCCCTTACAGCGTAGAAATTTTATTTTACATCTTAGGTATAATGCAAACAAAAGGAAGAATCTAGGAATGAACTCATAAACGGCGTGTTTATAAAAAACCGGCCAGTTGCGTGTCCGACTCGCACATGATGGGTTACGTTAGAAAAAAACGCCAAAAAAATCATGTCTGTTTTATCAAATATTTTTCGCACTCAAAAATTTTTATTCTATTTCTTAGTATTTGTTAATCATAGTCTGTCCTACACAATTGCGTCCCGTAATACATGTTAAGTTATATTAAATATCAACCGCGTATAATATGTAACATTGGACTGTAATAAAAACAAACAAAGTTATTTTGAAAAATTACATCGAAACACGTTTGTGCTGACAACTCAGTTAGGTTTCGACGGGCAGTTTCCTGCGACGAATGGGAACCCTTTTTTTATGTTAGGACTAGACTCCCGCCCCGGCTTCGCACGGGTGCAATGTAATATATAATAAACCTTCCTCTTGAATCGCTGTATGTAGTACAAAGAACCGCATCAAGATCCGTTGCGTAGTTTTAAAGGTATAAGCATACATAGGAACAGACAGACAGCGGGACGACTTTGAGCTAGCGGTTCGCCTGATGTTGGGGGATAACCTCCGCCCATGGACATCTGTAGCACCCGAAGAGTTGCAGATGCGTCACCACCTTTTAACCATTAGTGCGAGAGTGTAGGCTGTTTTGTAGCCCTAACGCAGAAGTTTTATTACAAATAAATGTCAGTAAAATATTTTATAATGTTCAACTAGAGTAGGTTTCTAATACTGCACAGTCTAGCACTACAGGACCAATGCAGAAAAGTAACGTAAATTAAAAACGTTCATAATTTGCCTGTCATCCGTATAGTTACGATACCCGGTGGTTGCCACTTACAAGAGAGACGATATTCCTCCTTTTGGAAATTAAATCGGAACTGTTCGGGAACCAAGCGACAAATTCAGCGTTGGTAGACCGCACTTGAGACTTTCACTCGGCATCGCTACGCGACAATCTCGACACGGATTGCGCAATGGACTCGCTGATTATCCAATAACAACATTATTCGCGATATAACGCGAAGACCCGATTGACGTGGGGAGTAGTGTACCTGCCTCCTTCGCCAGAAGGTGTGGGTTCGATCCCCACTACAAGGAGAAATATCGTGTGATGAACGTAGTGTTTTTCTCTGGGTGTTTATATATCTATAACATGTATTTATTTACATATTTATCAACTATAGGTAGTACAAGCGTTGCTCAGTTTGGGACTAAGAACGTTGAGTAAAATGTATCTGCTTATTTTATTTATTTATGATTCTAAAATTATTTTATTTAATATATTATATATAAATAAATATTTCATTTATTTTTATAATGATTCGCGTTCCCATATAAACACTGCGGAATCCACTTATAAGAATACAGCTGAAGGAAATTACACGCCAGTTTAACCGGAAAATTTAACAAAATGCTTAAGTATCGCATGCAACTATGATAATAAAATGTTATAATAAACACTAATTCTTGGTTGATATTTCTTTAAGGCATGACGAAGTAAAAAAAAACAGACTTCCGGAAACATCGCCACTGAACGCGGTAAAGCGGCCAGTTTATTACAATCTTTTGCTAATAAGATGTTGGTCAGTGCTCTACCAAATTATTCTAGTAAAATGGCATTATGTTAAATATATTATGTTAAATTTCTTTTGTTTTGTAAATAAATTATTGGAATAAACTTTAAATAAGTCATAAAAAAACGCTTAGAATTCTTAGAAATTCGTGGCAATCAATCAGCCAATCAGCTCTGTACTTTCGTAAAAAGACACTGAAAGGGGACACTGGATTAACAGGTTAACACCATGATAAGGAATCCCGGATCTGATGATGGCATCCCAGAGAAATCGAGGGCAATCCTCAAATATTATAGGTATTAACAATGACTTTTAGTCTCCGGTTTGAAGTCGGTTTTTTTTTGTTAAAAATTTTAGTGGACCCAATAGGGGCGGAAACATGAAGTGGTTTCTTCTTTCCGCCAAGCACACTGTATCGGGAAAGGATAATACTTTCTCGAAGCATTTAGTAGAGGTTAGTAGAGGTTAGTAGAGATAGAGATACCGGTGCGTTCCGTAGGAGATCACGGAGCCGGGTTCCATGGAGGACACAGGAAGAGGTAGGTGTTACGGCAGCACTGAACGCTACTTTCGCGAGATAGAACAGGGCGCTAGGAGGCACACAATCCTGCCTCGTCACAACTCCAACGGTTTAAGTTTAACATTCAAAATTATCATGTCATAAATCATATACATAGCGATATATTTTATTGCAACATCGACTTCTCTACAACATTCCGGCTCGAAGGACCAAATTTTGTACTGAAACATTTACAGGTAAGGATATCAATAAGCGCATATTGGCTCGCTACATGTACAGGACCTTGACTATGACGAAACAATCTATTTAACATTATGCAGCATAATTTTCAAGTTCTTTCATATCGAGATTACTTCCTATTATATTAATAAATAAAAACGAATGTGCGCATAACTCAAGAATGGCTGGACTAACCATTTTTTTTTTGTATATTCCTTAAGGTCCGCGGAAGGTTTTAAGACAATAAAAAATAACGAAGTCTGTCTGGGCAGCTAGATATTATTAGCATAGCTAGCTGCTCTTTGATAAAACTAGAAAATTTGCAATGATCACCTTTTTCACCGTTAAAAGCCTAAAGATTTTCTTTAAAATAATGACGTTAACAATAGCAATTCGAAATGTCAAGCTTGTTATAGTCGTCTCTATTATTATTTTTTTATGCGATAAGTTGCCAAGCGAGCAGACGGTTAACCTGATGTTAAGTGAATTCCGTCCCCCATTGACATCTGCTACACACGAGGGTTCCAGATGCGTTGACAAAACCTTTGTTGATCTTTTTTTTTATGCGAAAAGTTGCCAAACGAGCAGACGGTTCACCTAATGGTATCTGAATACCGCCGTCCATGGAAATCTGCTACACCCGAGGGTTACAGATGCGTTGACAACCATTTGAAAATTGAGCTCCGGCCACCTGACTCACCAGATGAAAAGCGAAAGTATTATACTTCCACTTTACGCCAGTCTTCTGTGAGGTTGTGGTACTTACCCGGACGAGCCTGCCCATTCGTGCAATAGCCGAGGCTGCTGCGTGGGCCTACCACCGTAAAATATTATATAGGAAGACACCAATTTGATTGCGTAAACTTTACAATGGATTACGCAGATGAGAAAAGTCTTTTCTTGTAGTCTGTTATTGTTAGTCCATATACGTTGAAAACGTCCCCACTTCCCATTATATCTCAAATAATTGAATAAAACTAGACTGCGTTTACATATTCTACATAAATTAGAATAGAGCACATGCAACCTTTTTAATTAAATAATAATACGAGACGTCTTTGACACTATATGCAAATAAAATAATAAATTGGCCATTGCTTGCTGCTCTAATTATCAAATGACTAATTTTAATGATATGTAATACGTTCTGGCGTTCTTAATAATCTGAAGACACTTTTGGTTTATCATATTAATCACACACTTTTGGCACGGAACGTCGTGCGTTCGAATCCGTCTTGAATTTATATGAACTATATAAAAAGTACCAATGTGGATATGGGTACATGACAAACTTAAAAGCATACACGTGCTTGCAAAAACCTTCAGGTTATAGCACAAAGTCCCAATAATGGAGGTCATATTTTAATAGAGAATTAAGGCAATTATAAAATTACACTTTTCTATCAATACCACGCCAAGATCTGCAAAAATAACGAGAAGCGACGATAAACCCATAGAATAAATAGCGCATTTATTACGAAGAATAAAATCACCTGAACCCAATCTATTTTAGCACTGTTACGGAATAGGTACTGATGGTGTTAATTTCGCTAGTAATTAAAAAATACTTGTACACAAGGGATACAGATCCGGAACAATTATCTATGGGTAACTTGTCCCGTGTGGGAATCGAACCCACGACCCCCGAAGCCGAACCTGATAGCTCAGCAACGGCGCCACATATGGGTGGGTAAATGACATCAGAGTCATTTACCCACCCATATGTGAAACACGAAGGTATTAAAAGTCCTACTTTACGGTGGTCATGTTAGGCTGGTACTTCCCCGCACGAAGCTGCCCATAAATGAACAACAAAAACACAACACAAATCCCAGCCAGATAACAGCTACCGATCGAGCCGAGGTTCGGCCCTCTCGGGCCCCCTCGAATCGGAATACTAAACGAGTATAGAGTGACGGTCCGAGCCGAGGCTCCCTCGGGAGCCCTCGACCTTAGTCACCATAACGCGTAATAATAATACGCCGAGGTTCAGGCTAGGCGCCCCGTGCGCCAAGCCACCTCAAGGCCGTCGGACCTGTGAGGGCCCATCACACCAAAAAAAAATCACAAATTCAACAACAGAAGCTGCGAAGCCCACTTTAGAAGCCCACGAAGCTTTACCCACGTAACAAACATTCAGTTAACAATAAGTTACGATTCGTGTTTGCCTAAAGGTAAAACATAACTAAAGATTTCGTCGCAAGTTTGTTTTCTACCTCCGGGCGAGATTGTTTAAATGTATCGCTTTCCTTTATCAACTATACTTTTCAATTTGAAATTGCCATCTTCTTATTTTAGTAGTATTAGTTTTGTTATTTATTATACTTTCCAGGATATTATAATAATGGACAACCTAAAGACTTCTTCGGTAACTTAAACACTCGTTTAATTTCCCCGTTGCAGGCCCATCGAGCGTCCGCCTTTAATTTGATGTCACAGCCTAATTGATTTATGTTTTGTCATCGTCTGGTCAACTACCTCGGCGCAGTCAAGCTTGATCGCTTGCTTTTCTATCATTATCTACGCACGATTTCTATTTCCGTTATTATTTTCTCAATTTTAAAATTGGAAAAACTGCAACATAAGCATAAGGAACACTTTACAACTGATTTAACACATGTCGCGTTATATCCGATAAAGTGTCATTTACTGACTTGCCACAGACTGAATACACTGGTATTGGATTAACGACTCGTATTGAAACCAAAAATATGTGATATTTCTAAATAAAGATCTTTTATATTTGGTGTCAGCTATATTAAAAGAAAAGTTACCAAAAATAATTAATAAAATAAAAGTGAAAATCATAAGTGATTCAAACGAAAATTGTCTGACATAAGTAGTAATGAGGACAAAAGCCATTGTGAATATCTTTTATTGGGCAATTTTTTCACAATAGCACAATGAAGAATAAATATGTTTACGCGAACTTTTTAACGGGTGACAAACGACGCTTTCGGACGTAATCTTTACATAACCCGCGACACGCAACAGATACAAAATTAACAACAGAAAAGCGCGGGAATCGGGCGTGTGAACTCTGCCTTGACGTACGAAGTAAATTACAGGGAAACTGAGCAAACGAAATAAACAGTGTAACACAGAGGTTAATGTGTCTGCGTTGTTCAATGTGTAAAAACCTATTTGTAACAGTAGTGACTTCTGGAAAACTCGTTTCTATTATTCAATCTACCACTGGCAGTACTAGTAAATTGATTTACTCCTAGTATTCATAGCAACATTCTCGAAACACTCAATTGGAACTCCGTATCATTTACGAGTTTTGCGAGTTAGATTTCTACCAACGCTGAAACTATTTAAAAATATGAAATATCACGATTTAAAGCTCCATTTTAACCTATGTATGGTATTTAGTTTAGTGTCAGGTGTTTATCCTCACAGCGTGTGCCAAAGAGTACGCCATATATAGCAACTTCGAAGAGACTTGAAACACGACCAGCTTATTGGTACATACCCAAAGTTTGTACATGAATATAACTATGGTTTGTTTCTTGTCATCCAAGTATAAACCGAACTCGATTTGCTTAACTTTAGCAGTCGGACTGGAATTTATCTGATACTCAACATGGTATGGACGTTGGCTTGTGAGTTACGTATGCTATAGACGAAAAATCCCAGCACATTTATTTCCACGAACTATTACATAATCAACTAAGAGAACCCTTTAACTTTAGCGTAGAGGAAGCTTAAAAATATTTCGATTTCTTAAGCAGTTTGTCATGTAAAGAGCTTGTATATATTGTAAATAATGCTTATCTCTGACCACCTCATTGAAATAAAAGGCAAGAGTTCGCTTTAACAAACACCACAACAATAGACTATTGTACGATTCTAAGATATGATAGACGTGAATAAATCGACTTGACCGTATTTTGTGAGGATCTCCTAGTCACGATCATACATGGTGTCACGGCCGTGCTGTGAAAACATTCACGCGGTAAACCAACGTTTCGCAATATCACTATGTTATGATTAACTATCACGAATTCGAGATGAATGAGCAATAAAAACTCATAAACGTCTTTCTTACTAGAAATTTTAGCGGAATGTACTTTACAACGAGCTTATGTGTGCAATTCCAGTTGTGAGTTGTTTAAGGTATAGTCACATACATTATACTTACATACTTAATTATAAGATGGAAACAATGTCGATCGAACACGAAGTCTGTAGCGACATACGAGGTATAAAGGCTTACCGCGTGAAGAGGCCAGTGTTGGTGAGGCCGTATTTGGTCTCGCCAGCTCTGATGTAGATCTTGCACGCGTCGTGTTGGCGACAGCAGGTGTCCGTAAAGAAGAACAGACCTAGCTCACCGGAGCGTGCTGTAGAGTGGCCGTCGCCACACCAAACCGTGCCTGGAAGACAAGAAAAACAGAATAATGTTAATAATTTTCTTTTCATTTTTTTATTATCAATTCCCGATATTAATCTCGAAAGCGCGAGCATGTCGACCGACCTACGTACGGCCTGCAAGCACTGCTCCTGTTTTTTAATCTCTGGCATCGTCTAAGATATTCATTTCACGTCTTTTTTCTACTACATTATGCATGTTTACTACACATAAACCTTCCTTTTGAATCACTCTATCTATTGGTGAAAACTGCATTAAAATCCGTTGCCTAATCAAAAAGAACTAAGCGTACAAACAGCGGGAGCTTTCTTTTATACTATGTAAAAATACTTTAAATGTGTAAGAACTGAAAATTCTATAGTTCACACTCATAACTTTATTCATAAAGCGTCAAACAATTAAATTTTACTACTCAGTAGTTAACTCTATGTCATTCCTAGGTGTAATGGAATCACTTCAAGTTATGGGACATAATAACGGAATAACTTAAGGTTACGGTCATATTTACGTCGAGAGAAGGGATCGAGTACTGCAATATTTGACTGTTAACTCCATTGCAACAAATTTCCTACCTGGATAAATAGCTTGAACTCTATCCTTAAAGGCGTCTACGACGGAATTCGCGACGTTCGCGACGCTGGTGACGCCTGAAGCTAAACTGTTGACGAATCCACGATCACTGTCCAAGGATCCAATGTCTCTGACACCAGCCATTAGTTGGCTGAAAGGCTTACTGATTCCTGACGATATTGTCTTCAGGATCCCACGGCCAAACTGCCCTGCAAAAACGATGACAATAACGTAGGTAAGTCTTACAGATACTGCTCAACTTGAGACTAATTGATAGATATTGTTGGGTTTCATTTTTTACATTTCTAACTTCGTACTTTCTGTTTACTATTCGAACTTAAAACTATCGTTAAATGTAAAAATCCCTTAAAAAGTTTATTTATTAAACAAAATCGTATTAATATGTTTAGTTTTCACCTAATCCCCCGTTCTCTTCTCTACTCCTGAGCCTTTCTGCTTCTAAAGCCTCATTCTGCTTCTGCATTCTTTTATATATGTCGTATATCCAATTCGGTACCACTCTTTCTGCCACAGTCTCTACCACACTCTCAACGACGCTACCAGCGAAACCAAATATTACGGACAATGCATCTGTTTTAGGTGCAGAAGTTGGCACAACGTCTTTAGAGTCATAATAATCCTCCGGAACTTCTGCTTCTTCAGCCTCATCAGCATCCAACTCTGTAAAAACTGGAATCTCTCCATCAATTGATTCAGTGCTCTCATCGAAAGAATTTACGGAATTAATTGTAGAGCTTAAATTGAATGTAGTGCTTGAATTTTTTTCTGAAGTCACTGTTGTTTCTTCTTTGTTGATCCTTGTCGTCGTTTCAGTTTCTTCTGTAACAGATTTGTCTTTATTCTTATTATTGTAATCAAATTCTAAATCAGTATTATTACTGCGCATTGTTTCAGCCACTTCTACGTCGAAAGCTGTTTCAGATTTATTACTTGTTATCGTTGCTTTTTCAGTGCTGGGAATAAATACATCAATTGTTATATTTTCAGCTTCTCCAGATTTTGTTATCACTTCAAAATTTTCTGTAGTTGGAGTATAATCTTCAGATTGTTGTGTTGATATTGGCAACGTAACAGTTTGATTGAATTCCAATTCAGGAAAAGATCTCTTAGTAGTTGAAAGAGGGATGACAGTTAAATCAGGTTCTGTAGTGCTATCAACAATACTTAGCAACATATTCTCGGTTGTACTGACTAGTTCCAAAGGTATAACACTGAACTCTGGAATATCGGTAGACTCATCGATGGTCTTAGTGGTTTGATTGCTGTTTTGAACTTCAACCGTTCCATCTGCATTTAATTTGCTTTTTTTATCAACGTCCTCATCTTTATCAATTGTATACCGATAGGATTCCTTTTTTAAAGTATCACTGGCATGCCATGGCGCTGTTTCATATTTTTTATTATACTTTACTGTGTATTCGTCATCAAAATCTATAATATTGTTGTCAAAGCTATCATCAGGGTTGTCATTTCTTTTGAATGGTACATCAAAGGCTCTGGGATGTGCAAACAATGGTGAAAATAAACTAAATAAAAATATGGCACTAAAAATGGTATTCTTCATTTTTCTCCTCACTGGATGATACATTATGATGAATCCATCTGCAACAAAGCATTTTTATCCTTTTATAACCGTCTTATGGTCACTTTTGAATTGATTATTCATAGTAAATGTATTATTTGCCATATACGATAAAATAAAATAAAAAGATATGAGTGTCTTATTGACTAACACATTAAAAACTCACATCGAATCAAAAATGTCGAATGACATTTCATGAAATGTTATATCTTTACGCAAGTATGAGTTTCATAACGAAATATTGTCTTTATGAGAGGAGTAAATGTGACCTTTCGTAGTAATTAAATATTGAAAATTCGTGTTCTTTAAATTATTTCCATACAATTATTGAGTAAGGCAGTTCAGCAAGCCCATTTATTATGGCAACGATCAATGCAATGTGTGCAATGGGTTTATATATCCTCCGGAACTTCTGCTTCTTATATTGAGGCTTTTTAGTTACAATACAATTTGTGATAAAATTAAATCTTTATAGCTTATGTTCTTACTTTCAAAAGTCCCGACCGGGGTAAACTTGCGAGCCCGGAAAAATTATAAAGTCATCGTGACCAACAACTTCTTTTAGTTTAAGCTGTTGTAAGAAGAGCTGAGGTAAGAACTTAATGTAATCATAGGCATAAACACCAAGAGAGGATTTAGAAAATTCATGTTACGTTCGAAGCAAGATGAGTTGGTTTTCTATATACAGTTAAGCTATACCTACTACAGTAAAAATTTATTAGTTGGAGATTTAGATCATGATTAGATTACGGATCGCTACCAACAAATTTTGATAATCAGGAAGATGGTTTGAAAGCAATAAACATACAGATAACTATAAGTTGGGCGTTTTCAATTTATCCTTGTAATTTTCTTTGGTAAAAGGAAACTCTCTCAGAGTCTCCTTGAACTCTGAGAGAGTTTCCTTTTACTAAAGAACTCTCTTAGAGTTTCCTTTTACTGTACGCTTCTGTTTTAAAATCGTGGACACTAAGAGATTCTCCAATTACGTCTGCTCGCAGCTTTACAGAAATTTCAACAAATCGGTATAAGCCCAAATTATACAAGTATGTTATTCACAAAACCAAATCAATATACAGAACTCACTGCGAAGGTCTCTATTTGCAGAACTCACTGCGAAGGCTTTGGTGGAGCAACATATGTTTGTAGATGCTCATGTTAGCCGACATAAAGCACGTTGCGAAAATATTATCCATGTAGCAAGAACTCTTCACACATATAACCAATAAGAACTATTTGCAAATAAGTTTTATGTTTTCTATTTTCAAAATGTATTTATTTGGTAGTTAACTACTTAAGTATATAGTATATATATATAAAAAAGTTATAACGGAAATAACTCCGTTATAACTTTATTACCACGGGCTGGCGAGAGGACTAGCATCCCACCTTATTTTCACCGGTGATGTATACAGTAGTTAGTGGTTAACACACTGCTCAGCTATAAATTCTTTTTATATTATTTAATACCATAGTAAGTCTGACTGGTATAGAACATCAAAGGTGATGCAGCTTTGATTCTAGTACCTTTCCCTTCGACTGGGTTCCTACCGTGTAGTATCGGAGGGACTTAGTAGCCGTGGCTTGGTCACTAAAGACTAGGCGTCACGCAGCCGAAGAGGAAGACACACTGGGCCAATCTGGAAAGAAAGACTAGTCCAGGAGGGCCACTCCGAGTGTGCTGTCCTCTGCAATCGAGGTGGAGTGGCGGGAGAAGAGGAGTGTTGGTTTTGCGTTTCACCACTCTTCCGATCAAGAAGGTCCTGCACAGTAAACAGTTCCTTAGGACTGCGGTGGAAGGGACGGCCGTCTTATTATACCGAGCTCTCCCTACCCTCCGCGGCCGAAGTGTGTGCGCCAATTAAGAATATACACTATTTATTATTAATATAATTGTTATTATTTTTTACTGTTCCCTTGAAGATATACCCACGTTTTTATGGAATAGATTGAAAGCGAGCAAGGGGCACCTGATGGTAAATTATCACCAATGGTCATTCACAGCACAGAAGACCTGCAAGAGAGTTGCCTGTCTTTAACATTGGGGCAATTTATGTAGTGAAGGCAGCCGTCTGCTGCTTACCTGTGCTCACCTTTAAATATAAACAAGTGTGAGCTTACCGGCAAAAAGCCTCCATAAAGGTCAATTAGTATGAGATAATCTACTCAATGAATTAATGGCTACGTACACGCGGGTAATGCGGCGTGTGGAATTACATAATTTGAATTAAAGTTGAATCGAGTTCGAGCGAGATGGAATAATGTCCGCCAACTTTATATTGCGCAACAGACGTTCACTTTGTATGTACTTTGAACTTTTCAAAGACTTGGAGGGTGTTCACAGAATCCGTGGAACTTTGACATCTATTTACAAAACTAACCGGTTAACAAATTATATACACATTTTTTAGTTTACTCGAGCAACTGAATTCAAATGTCGCTTTTATCACGTGCTCGGCGATGAAGGAGGCTAGGTTGTTGCATGGTCAGATAACAAAAGTCAGAAGAAATAATAAATAGAATACACTTTAATAATTTAATATCGCTTATTTGGACTCTTAATGAAAAAAAAATATGATAAACAAATATTAAGACATTTGAGATGACTACTAAACTATAAAAATATCAAATCACAGTAAAAAGACCTTATTGTAATTTTTTTTCATATTTGCTACTAACTGTTTAAATAAAGAAGAAAAACTAAACATCAGATAAATATGTGTTTTACTGGCCAATGGGAATCTCACAGTATCACGATCTTAACTATAATTACTTGGTCGGTACCATTTTTTCATGATGTTTGTACTCATTTAGATCCTAAGCAATTTTATTCTATTTTTTACGTTTCACGCTGTTCCAAATTAATCTGCATTCAATGCGTCTTAAACGTTTTGAAACATAATCTATGATCGTCCTTTATTCATAAACTTAATATATTTCATCTTAATACAAAGCTCGAAGTTTTCCCACAGTCTGATAAAGGCAAGGTCAGTGTATGTGAATAAAACTCTTTGTAAACTGTACCCGAAGTAATATTGTGAAATAGGATGAATCTCACGTATGCCTCGAATGATTACGTTCAAACAGACGCCAAATATGATCAGTTTAAAACACATATTACAATACTTCTATTATATACTCAGATTATGTGACTATGGCATATCAGTAAATTACTTATTGTTAAGAACCATCAACGGAATAATAGGTTGTTTTTTAATTAAGTAATGACTTTAGTCTTCGGAACTAAGATAAACATGATTCCACTTAAAGGCACGAGAATCATAACCGAGATTAGTTAGTTTTGCACAATTTATGTTTCAGTAAGGGAAGAGAAAAATGCGGTACACGGCAGGAAACCTTAAACAATATTGTATACGGTATTTATGTATTTGGTAATCAGGACTCCATTATTGAGGCTATGGTAATAGTTTAAATTTTATATTGAGTTTTTACAATGCTCTGCACTGAAGATGAAACATTAAAATTTGTATAAAAATCGAGGAAAGGTTGTTATCCAATCGTTTTATATATACATATAGCTATGCGCGTAGTTTCTAACAAAATACGGGTCAATCAGCTGTAAAGTTAGTTGCTAATAGATTATTACACAAACAAGACGTATTTTTATTAAACACACCTTAACAGCCCGAACAGTTGTTCTATTTAACTATAAAACACATCTAGTGACACGCACCTTTTTGGATGAAATCGAAAATGCAGTTTAAATAAACATTCTTAGCTAAACCTTAACTGTAGTAAAAATGATGGTCATTCAATTGAATAGCCATTTATAATTCATGACATTGTTTTTATTCCCACAAATTACAGGGCGGTAAATCTTAAGGGCCCTGGCAATTAATCTTAATAGAAGTTTCTACAAAAATCTAATACTGCACGCCCTTTAGATTTAAACCGATTGGCAAATTCAACATTCCAGACACTTGTTCATTGAATTACATTTATTTAAATGTTTATCATATTCACAGCATTTTATGTACATGTTCTAACCAAAATCAAATCACCGTACCTCTTCTGCTTATTTCTCCTGCCCTTATCCCACTAGGTGGGGTCGGCAGAACATTTGAATAATGTTGAGAATGCTTTTTAATAATATTTTACATGTTATAGTTTTCACTACCGCCTACTCGCCTTACTATTCTTGAACGCTCAGAACCCGGTCAATTATTAGTTGGTCGCACAAATGCTGGCCGCATGGAAATCGTATCCAAGACTCTGGCGCCGCAGCCAGTAGCTGAACAACTACGCCACCGAGTTATGATAGACCTGTGCGTAAATGTCCTAGAAAAGTATAATGAAGAAACTCTTACGCTTGCTGCTCCACATATTGCCACTACCGTTAACGAACCATTTAGATTTAGACCACCGATAGTTTTTTGCCAATTACTTTTAGTTTTATTCACACACACATCAACTCTGTGTTAACAACACACCACAATTAGTCCTTACTACTGATGAAACTAAACGACGAAGTGCTAATAATTTAAACGCAATGAAGGCACTAGACCCAATTGGTATAGTGGCTTGTGACTCTTACGCCCTCTAGCTATCGTCCCATCAGCCTCCTCAGTTGC